TCTTCAGCAACATATGCAGTGACAATAAACTTTTTATAGAAAACTGACTACTCATTTTTGACTTCTTAAAAACAAGGCATTTTTCTTGGCGAACGTGTTAATAGACTTTGAAGAAACTGCGACGTGTACAAACAGTGGCAATCCTTAACGGCATCGATAACTGTCTGAAAAATATATTTCTTACTACAAAAAAAAAAAAAAAATTAAGTAAACTTGTATCATCTAGGCAACTGAATTACCCGTCAATAAAAAAACCTTATACTCATTTTTTTGGCAAGTACATAGAGAGCTAATAAATTAGACGTTCTCTTAGAGGGCTTATTTTCTACTAATTTGCAAATCAAACTGCTGAAGTCTTGAGTCTAAAAAATGATTGAAAAGTTCTATTTTTCACGATGAATTCACTAAAACAGTCAGTTCCCAAGGAATAGGTACTATCCATTTTCGTTTTGTTTATTCCCTTATTTCTTCTCTTCATCTTGTAAGCCTTTATCAAACTTCATTTATATTTAAAACTAGAAGTATAAAGAACCCTTAGTGCTTTCTAGATAAGCCGGAATAGAGGTGGTTAAAAGTCATCAATCTTCAAGGATTATAATGAACAAACAGTACCATTTCAATACGCGTCAGTTTGATTCTAAACACTGCTAAACTCCAGGAAAATTAATGCAGTAAAAGCTTTTTGATGTTCTTATATGTATTATTTTAATTTTTAATCTACTCATCTTCTCTTTCTTTTCACTGAGTAAAGGATCAACGAGTTCATACTTCATCTCAAACATTAGCTGTATTCTCGCTTAATGAGTCAATGAGTAGTTGACGTCGCAACCAAAATCAAACTTAAGACAGATATAAAAGTAAAACCAGGTACTAAACGAATCTATCATCCTAAGCGTTCTCCGCTGTATGTACTTTGTCCTTTGCTTAAGAAGAGACTGTTTCGACCGGTGCATGAAAAATCACAATCCTTATAGCTTATCCGCACTAGGCAACGCCGACTGCAGTGTCTAAAAGGAAAACAATAAACTTAGAACTTGCGTCAGCTTCTCAACCTGACTTATTGCAGCGATTCATATACATCAGTTCTGTTGCCTACGGCTCACGACACCTTTGCAACAATTAATGATACTGATTTAGGCTCCTCAAATGCATATTTCCAAATTCCAGGTGATAGTGACTCGGAAAGGCTACTTACTAGTCATGAATACACATATCATTCTTTTACAGTCCAACTGTCTACCGTTAGGGGTGCAAATAATTAATTAGATGCGAAAATCGTTAATAAAAAGTTCTTGATGTGGCTGACAATGTGTTGAAAACAAAGAGGAATGAAAAACTCGTGGCATTTTAGTAAAAGGGAGTCAACATTGGTCAGACCAAGTGTATTACTTTTACAATAAAGTTTTTTAGATGAACTACACAAGTCATGAAGTTGCGGAAAAAATACACCGTAGTAATTTACCAAACTGTCATGAGATTCCATAAGCTTCTCATCACATCCTCTAACGTGCTTATACCTTTCAATAGCTTGAACAAAACCCAAAAAGTCATAAACTCTAAACGAAGGTGTTTGCACGCAAATTTACGTGTCAAATGCCTTTCACTTGATCGCCCCAGTAGCTAACATTCACAGCAAATTCTTTGCACATATTTACGAGCAACAGTTTCATTGCTTTTCGCGTTATGATACAAGTATTTTTTCAACAAAAGTTTCGCCATAGTTCTTAGTTCATCCTTATCAGGAACTAAGTGCTTCATGATACTAATACTTCCTCAATAGCGATTTTCAGAAGTTATTTTCACACAGCGCACAAGTATTTTGCGAAGTTACTGCAAAATTTCGAACTGTTAGGCATAAATAACAGTTGAATCTCTAGAATAGTGCATATCATCCACTGGTGCCCTTGAAACAAACTGTTCAACGACACAGTCTAAAGACTCTCTAACAGAGTAATCTGTATTTGGTTCGCTTAAGATTACACTTAACACAAAGTTGTAAAAACAACAGAAGTTAGAAACATTTTATTTCCTCCTCACTTTAATAAGCAAACTCCGCATGTTTTCGAGCATTTGACGTTTATGAGGTTTTCATATGCCAAACTGTAAAAAAGCTGTATGTTTTGCGCACAAGTTGCCATTTCGAGTTTCCAAGTACCTAAAAAAATTTTGATTTGAATTAAGATGAATTAAAAATTGCAGTGATTTGTTACGTCCGCAGAACATGCAGCTACGACGGCAAGCATTCCCCAAAAAGTTTCGATATGAAGCGTCATGGCAATAACTCAAACTGCTCGCACAATTGGTTTTTGTGTCATTGCAAGTTTCTAAAAAATCAAAACAAGCTCAAGTCAAGGTAACATTGCTTTTAATAAAGCCATGAATTTTACCTGGGCAAAATCCACAGGTCTTGCGGCATTGTTGTCTCATCAAGTTCAGATAAACCGGATCATAGCAGTACGACTTCGCGGTCACACGGCGTTAAAAGCAGCATAAATGAAGCTTGAAAGACTGTGCAACTCACGGTGCTCGCAAGTTTTCTTGCAATTCTCCTTCATAAATTAATAAAAGGGTGCATCTTTACATTAACGAGCAATCTTCGGTCTCTCCGCGTTCTTATCGACGCAGTCTCATCTCTAGTTTGTCTAGTGCACACCACGAGTTATAACAAGAGAGAAAAAAAAGAAAAAGAAAAAAAAAACATTAGGACTTGGCGGTGTTGTCGCCGCACTTCCCAAAGCGCTTTGCTCTCATGTTTTTCCGTTTCTCCTGGTGTACTTTGCGCTGTTTCTCGTGCCCGGGGACTTTCGGCACTTGACTCTGTTTTGCTCTGCGTGCTTCCCTCTGTTGCGTGTCCGGATGCGCTAGGCTGAGCAGCTGAAGATTCTCCAGTAGAGCCTGTTTACGAATGGGAACTTCGAGATGGGGCGGTGTTTGCTTCAGTGGTCGCTGTCTCAGTTGATTCACTTGTTTCTGTGGTTGAGTCATCTGCTGCGCACGGTGTTGCTGCAAATTAGTAGAGAGAGTTAGTGTTTTTATAAGAGCGTGTCAACACTTCTTCACCAAACAAAGTAATAGAAACGATGACTTAAGAGTTGTTTGAAATTGTTGTGAACTGAAAGATTCGTGTTTAAACTGTAGCTTATGCCGATTAATAGAAGAACTAGGACGTTGTGGGCTGCAGAACTGTGCTTTCAAAAAAATGCACACTTGCTAAAAAGGCGAGCAAGGGGAGGAAAATTAGAACAGTTGTTTTCATCTCCACTCTAGAAGTCAGTGTTGATTGTTAGCGCATAAAACATATTTATAGTCATTCTGTGCAACGGATCCCAAAGTACCAAATTCCTTGAAAACGCTCTAACTGGACGTACGCCAAAAAATAACCAAATAAATTAAGAAGCGAAGATTCGCGACAGTTTTGTTTCTTGATTGTGCTTAATTCTGTCGTTTCTTGTTCCTGAACTTGGACGTTGAACCAAGATGCACGTGATATATGCATGTTTAACATGTACTGGACAGAAACTTCTGTTGAATTTTTGTAGTATCAACGCGAAATACAATTGAGCATTGCCTTTTTTCGAAAAATCAGTATACAAAACTGCATTATACTTTGGCTTCTCGTCTCTTGCAAACTTGATGAAATGTGAAAGTCAAAGTACACTAGCTGCAAACAAACTACAGTTTTTTAAAATAACCTGCAGGTTTTAAAATATATGACGATAAACAAGTTTTTGAAACAAAGTTTGCCGATCAGTAATCATTAGTTATTCTGTATATAAGAAGTTGAAATAAAGTAATTCAGCAAATTTGTTTGAAGCAATTCATCGCTTATACGTAGCACATAATTAGTATCTGCTTCACTACAACTATACTTCTGTTTTATTGCAAATTTACTTACAGTCGTAAAAACTTACTTCTACTGCAGCTTTTCTTATCTATTGAATAAGGGTTGCTCCTAAAAAACAAGTTGGTCAGTTCAAGCAGTTGTTTTTCTTTTTCGCTTCTCTTCTCCGTCCTTATTTCTTTTATCAGATCTGTCGTAATCCGCAAATGAGACCCTGCATTGTAAATTCCAAATTTGTGTGCTAAAAAAAATATATTTAAATTTTGAACGTGTGGAAACAAAATTCAATTTGGCTAAAAAGCGTTTGTTAGTAAAAATTGGAAAAAGATTTTGAAAAAACTTTTAAAGTGAGCATTATTTAGCATTATCAAGTAGCTTTGCAAACACTTTGAACGACGTCTTCCGATATGGAACATTTGACTACGAACATGTAATAATAATCTTTCTTGGTTTTGAATGTTGAATCAGTAGAGATATTCAGTTAAACCTATAACTTTGAATGCGGTGGTAACAAGCAAGAGTAGTTTTAACAAGTTCTGTTTTTCAATTTTTTTTTCTACAAAAAGCAGAATAACCTTCAATTATGCAATTAATTTGAAAAAAGAAACATTTCTTTTTTCTTCAAAAAGTGTTTTCACTGGTATGAAAAAATTTTTAATAAATTTATTTTGCATTTCACTG